ATTTGAAGCCACAATATCGAGGTGGCCGTCTTCGTCGAAGTCGCCCAGTGCAACGCCGTGCGCAAATGACCCCACAGGGAACGTGGCCTGCGCCTGGAAATTCCCTGATCCAGTTCCGAGCAAGACGCTCACCGTATCGTCGACCCCATTCGCAACCACAATATCGAGATGGCCATCTCCGTCAAAGTCACCCACCGCAACACCTTCCGGGCCCGGACCTCACGGGGATCATACTGTAGTTTGTGATTTCCAGAGTGGTGGGCAGCGTCTGTTACGTTTAACTGGAATGTGCGTCGTTGCAACTGTCTCCACATGGTCGACCTGACGTTGGAAAGTTCTCGGGTAAGAAACTTGTGGCCGGATGGAAAATCGCAACTCGTGCGCATCGAGGGTGGCTGTAGGGTTCAAACTCTCAAGGATTACCAACTGGAAATATTTGCTGCACGCTTCCCTCAAGTCGTTAATGGTGAAGGACATGTCATTTATAAGCTGGCCTTGGGCAGACTCTCACATGAAATTGCTATCATCAGGGGATTCGCAGATAATGGGTTTTATTGTTGCCCGTATCCAGAAACATGCCAAAGCACAGGCATCCATCTTCTGGTGCGTGCAATAATTTGACTGGTCACAATAACATTCCAGGTGTGGTTGAAGAGTCTATGTGCCTCCCATTTGTCGGAGAAAATGGTGGAACAAAGAGTCAAATTTCGGAGTAAGAGTAGGAGCAACAAAGTGCTAATAAACATGACATTAGATGCGACCAACAAAGAGGGAAAATCAGCTTCCGCCCACTGTTGGGGATATCCGCTGGCCGTCTGAGGAGGAGAGCGGAAAGCGGATGGGCCTGGGGCTCATTATAGCTGCATTGACCGAGCAACAAGAGGGGGAAAAACCAATACCAAAGAATAGGAATTTACTGCACGTATTTTTTACAGCGCAACTCCTGATCGAATATCACGCCTAGAAGTTTCGCGGTGCTAGACGGTTCGACCGTTTTCCCGTTCATGATGACCAGGCCCTGGTCTTCTTCGCGCTGTTTCCGGGTGAGAGATGAGTTCCGTTTTCTCCGCAGCGAAGAACATGCTTTTGATGGATTAAGCGAAACCCCCTTGGACAGACGATCAGGGAGGTCAGAAAAGCCCAATCGTTTACGTAGATTTCTTAAGTTGAACGTACTAAAGAGGATGAACAGGCTACCAAAGAAACAGGGTATTGCGAGTGGTAAATTGAGGAAGTTGTAGTTTAGGAAAGAGAGCTCAGCGATGTCTCATCTGAACCAGTCAGACCAGCACTGCAGACCGACTATATTGTCTGCAAAGGTGCACTTCTGACCTGGAGGGAGATATAAAAAGGGCTCCCTACAGGCAGTATTCTGGCCCCCAGCTTGCTCTCCATCTATACCACGTCCACATTATATCCAAACGCTGATAGTATGCGCCTTAACTTACCTCACATCCTTGGAATAGCCACATCAGCTTCTGCTCTGTGGTCAGTTACCTACTACACCGCAAGCGATTGTTCAGGGCCAGGAAAAGAGGTTGGAGGCTTCAAAGCTGGGTGCCAGACTCTAGAAGCCGGCACGGAATCGGTAATGGTCTCTACCGACAGCGGCAACAATATTACCTTGAGCACGGATATCAACTGCAACACTCCTTACGAGGATACCATTCCGAGTGAAGTAACCGACCGCTGTGTCAATACCGCTATCCGTTCCTTTCTATCCTTTTGATTGTAAGTGGTGTAGTACTTTCTTTACCACATACAAAATCTGCAGACTAACACTGCAAGGCTCATTACAGTAAAGCCACGAAATCACGTTGAAGGGGGTGAAAAGCTCTCGTCTGGGGGACAAGATGAGCTTCTAGAATCTACTTGTCTCTTACTCTAGGTACAGTATTTCCGGAAATCGGTGTCACCCCCCACACTCTTTCATTGTTCCCCAAACCCTAAATGCCAAGACACACTAAACTATGTTCGGAAAGACTATATCAGCTTCATTTTGTTTTTGGGATGTACCGTAAATTACCGGATTATCATATTAGCGAGGTAATTGTTTATTACCTGTAAGCTTCATAGCTGCAACCTGAGTGCCCCACGTCAACTTTCCTAATCCTCACCACTTTCCCAACCCTCACCACTTTCCCAATGTCTCCTAGCAATCGATAAATGTGCATCTGGATGTTCCTCCATAAATTTCTTGTGATAAGCATACTCCTCATTGCGTTTCTTTTCCTCTTCCGCTCGGGCCTTCTCTTCCTGTTCCTCTTTGGCCTTGTCTTTCTTTGCCTTTGCCTCCCACGCTACTTTAATAAGCGCAATGTAATATTCCTTCTCCTTCCCAGTAACTTCATGGCCACCCCACCAGTTGGCGTATTTAACCATCAGATCCTTGGGACATTTTCTCCAGCTGAAAAGCTGTTTTAGCACCATGAATCTAGAATCCGATTCGCGCGATTTGACATCGATTCCAGCCGGCATAAAATAATAAGCGTTGTCGTCTGATCGACCGGAACCGCCGGCGGGATTGTCCAGCAGATAATTCGAGTAATATCCTTCGGTTTTCAGAAAAACAAGATCATCGTCTTTGTTGCAAGCTAGACACCAGCCCGAGAGCGGATCGCCACTCCCCTTGCCAGTGGGCGCGACTGCATTCCCTAAGCAAAGTCAGCTTTGTCCTATATTCTATGGTTAATTGTCCACGTACAAAGGTAGTAAACTCCCCAGCCAATGGGTCCAAGTTCCACCCCAAGCTTCTCATAGTCCTTGTCATCCAGTTGCCAATTTTCGCTCATTTTGAGGAATATATGAGCCTATGTTGACGAAAAATAAGTTAAGGTTAGGCGAAGTGCACTATACGATCTGAAAGGTTGATGATAGAGGAAGAGGAATATTTAAGCAAGCTGAAAAGGGGGAGTGAGGGCTTACTATTTATATTCTGTTTAAGTTGGTGCTAGGTATGACGCATCGCTACCTACGCCATATTCATGAATTTTCAGTGGGACGAAAATGCTTTCAGCTGGACTATCGATTGTTTTCAGCTGGCGTTAATAAACGCCAGTTCTCTTTCCGATCGGCGGTGGGGAGAGTGTGACGATCGTCTATGTAATTGAATGCAAATCCTCAATGTGAGTTCATTTCCTCGAGAGAACTGTATTGACCACATGAGAAGCTACTTCTCGATGGTGGTTGCGCTGAGTATGATCATTCACTGGAAGGACAATGGCAGTGTCATCGACTCTCACCCGACGGTGCCGGGCAATCTCCCGTCGTAGAACCTTTTCTAGCTTCTTCTCTAAGAACAGTTGCCAAAAGGCACTTGGGGTCCCCTCCTGTTCTCCCGATTGCCATGATCGATGGGGTGTCATATTTGAGAATTGTAATTGGATGACAATACTATGATCAGCACCCCATCAATGCCCTGGACAGCGGATGAAGACGTATTGAGCTGAACTTACCGCTATTGATCAGCATCTTCAGCTGAGAAATGTGGAGCATTCCAACATCTCGGGGTTGACGCTAGTACTTGCTAGGTTAATTGCTTGCATCCATATGTATATGGACCCATAAGAGGTACATACAGTATGTAAAATCGGAAGTACATACAGTTCCGCAAGCCTCTGTTACGCGATCCCGATTGATGAGAATGGGCCCCTACAGTACGCAACACTTCTTAAGATACTCACCAACCACCGAACTGAATTCCATGTCTTAGATGATCAATTTTATTGATGACTCTGCTAAGACTATTATTTTTCAGGCCTTGGATTTGTACAGCTCTGCCAACGCAGATGGCTATCATTTCTTGCTCACCACTGCATCCCCTGCTGGTACGTGTCGTTTCTTTCAAAACCTATAGTTATGCCAACCCAAATTCTAGGCCCTGCCAACTACCAGAGAGAGCATCTTGCCCAGATGAATCAGTACCTTGACTTTTGGAACTTGATGGCCTACGATTATACCGGAAGCTGGGACAACGTTGCCGGCCATGATGCCAACCTCCACGCATCCAACAGCAACATAGCCAGCACTCCATTGAACACCGACCAAGCGATCAACTATTACACCTCGCAAGGAGTGGCCTCTTCCAAAATTGTCCTAGGTATGCCTCTGTACGGCCGAGCTTTCACCGACACCAACGGTCCTGGCCAGTCTTACAACGGTGATGGTAGCTAGGCAAATGGTGTGTGGGACTACAAGGCTTTGCCTCAGCCCGGCTGTGCGGTCACAAATCTGGACCAGGAAGCTGCTAGCTACTGCTACAATTCGGGCTCACGTTTGTTCATCAGTTATGATACCCCTGAGGTTGCGCGTAAGAAGGGTGAATACATCAAGTCCAAGGGTCTTGGTGGTGGTATGTGGTGGGAGCTCAGTGGTGACAAGCAAGGTGATGACAGTTTGATCACCATGGTATGTTTCATTCATATTCCACATTTGATCATACTAACTTCGAGCTTTGTAGGTGGTAAATACCCTTGGAGGTACCGGAGCTCTAGACAAGAGCGAGAACCAGCTGAGCTACCCTGCCTCTAAGTACGACAACCTGAAGTCTGGTTTCTGACCTTTTCAATCTTCGTGTGTATATTTTAGTCATAGGATATACTATTAACAACCCACATGAAGTGGTAATATGTGACTTTGGCATTGTGCGGATTACCTGTCGAATTACTAGAACTAGTCAAAAGGCTTCTCTCGCCCTAACTACAAAATTTCATTGGTGTATGAAACGCCAATATGGTAGGCGTTGTAGTTGGCTGGATGACATCTTGCTCAGCCGTTGGTAGCAGAGATGTCTAACAGCTCCTGACTGTCAAGTATGCAATTGGGACGAAAGCTGCGAGCAACGACACGGTTGGCATATTTTGTCCAATCAAGGATGTGCAAGCGTAAATCCCGTCCAAGCATCGCTTCACCCGCGCAATTCGGTGTTTCCCGGGCATTGAATGATAGCGGAGCCAAAGCTTCCTGGGGCACTTTAGCAAAATTCAACGCATGGAGTTGTGAGGAAATTACAGTTGCGAATATCCCGTCGTGCATGGGAGGATCTGGAGCGGCCCAATTCGCAACGCCAAAAAAGCATCGTCATCACGAATGTTACTGTAAAACTATACAAAATTGAGCGAGGGAGATCTGAGTAGCGTAGGTGTGCGCTATAAGTGCTTATTGGTCACTGTTTTTCGCACAGCCGTACTCGCTTTTATGTCGAGCGGTTGGAGATGCTCCGTTTGTCCAAGTGCGGCGGAAACATGAAAATGAATTTGGAACAGAGAACAAACACATGACTTGGGGTTATGTCCCGCCACCTGATAGCAAGTAATATGTATACGTTGCAGTAGAGGCTTAATTTGTGACTCCCTTAGGCTCGAGAGTAGCTGGCTAATACTCAAAAGGACACTCCATTTTCATTT